CGATTTTAAACAAAGCCAGGCCTTTCTTTGACCGGTGGAGCGTGATGAGCGCTCAGACTGTCAGATCCTCCTTGTTTTAAATAAATTCCACTGACGTACTCTCTTCTGACATAAATTATTAACCAAGCATGATGCACACAGCGTGCCAGCAGCAGCATCTCAGGGCAGGAACAGGCAGCAGGTGAGGCTTTCTGCCTGCAGCCGCAGGTGTGAAGCAGTTAAATTACACCGTCGCTGGGAGAAGAGGTGTGCCACCACGGCTGCCACCTGCCCACCGGCGCGGCCATGCCATGGAAAGTCACGCTCCATACCCAGGCTGTATAAAAACCAACCTCACGGCATCTCCCCGCGTCCGCCTGTGCCGAGACACGTTGAGAGCGGGGACCGTTTCTCCCACCTTGCCATGGCCCTTCTGACAGTCCCAGGGACAGAGGCAGCCAGCTCCGCTCTGCTCCTGGAAATGCTGTGGATGTCCTGGAGGCACCCAGCCAGCCTCTCCTAGGGTGGCCTGAAGCAGATGGGACCATTTCTCTCCCTTCAGCCTGAAGAAATTCCCAGTTAAGCTGGGACAAGGGGCAAGGTGGGTGAGATGGGGATAGCCTTTTGGAGAGGGACCAACCCATCAGCCAAGGCCCAGAGGCAAGATCTACCACCTCCCCACAGCCTCCCCGGTTGACATCTTGAGAATTCACCAGAACATTCAAAAAAACCCCAAGGGAGAGCCTGACGGAAAGCCAGCCATCAGCAAGAGGCCTGGGGCCAACACCAGCGCTGGTGGGAGCTCCTGGGAGCACTGTGAGACGTCGGCATGGACCAGGAGCACCGTGAGACGTCGGCATGGACCAGGAGCACCGTGAGACGTCGGCATGGACCTCAGCCACCCGCGTTGGGGGCTGAAGTGTGTATCTGAGAAACAGCTGGGATAAAAGGGCAATTCCTCTGCCCCAGATATAAACTCAAGCAGCGTGAAGCCAGAGAAAAGAGAAGAGTTGTGCGAGTCTCAGCTCTCTGAAGCCCTGGGGGGTGGTGGGCTTCCAGCACCAGACACAGGTCATCTGGGCTCCCCTTCTTCTCTGGTCACTCAATACAACCAGAAGGAAGGGGAAGGAGTGTTGAGCAGAAAAAAACCATTAAGTATTTTTTCCTCTCGTAATTCAGAAGAACAACGTCCACATTTCATCCTGGAAGTAGCTGCACTTTGGGGATTCTTGTGCCTGAGACCTAATTTGCAAAGCGCCTAGGGATGCCTTAGGGTAAAAAAAGCATTATAGGATCATTATTAAAATGGACACATTATATTTCATGTCCCAGTTCCACGTAAGTGGAAAAAAGAAAAGGCCAAGGTCTAACTCCAGGATGAGGGGACAAATCCATGAAACATAACACCCATCCAGTGAAGTGATAAAAATGGGACGCAGCTTCCTAGGTGTTGAGTGCTGCACCGGAGCGGCCGCTCCAGGTCTCCTGCTTTGCCCCTGCTCAGCCATGCCACAGCAGCGACGCAGAGTAAAGAGCAGCAAATGTGGGGTTTTTTTAATAAAAGCTGCAATCCCTGGCCAGAGCGGTCCCCCTCAGCTCTCCCCGGGCTCATTTTGCACATCTGGGGTGAGATCCAGCACCCCGTTACAGCAGCAGAGTGCAGAACGCAACCTGCTGCAGCCTGACAAGCCACACGCCAGGCTGCCCGTGGTCCCACCGGCTCCTCCAGCTGCCAGCACAGATAATCTGGAGGAAAAAAAAGGCTTTCTCGAGCCTTTCACCACTGCTTACACCAGCAGTGTCTCTGGTATACCCTGCCACAGACTGGGAAAGCTCCTTTCGAACCCTTGGCATGTACGTGGCTAGATGAGAAGCTATTTCCCCAGAGGAACGAGTGAAGCCGTGTATTTCAGGTTGCATCTCATGCCTGCCTGTCTCCCACCCACACAGCACACGACTGCTGGCGTAATTTCTCTTGAACATACAGCATCTATCTACTCAGCCAAGCCCGTACATCACCTGGCTATCGATCTGCTGGAGGCGACGTGACCTGCACCCGCAATGAGGGTGCAAAGGAGACGTGGCAGGAAAGGAGACCCCGGGTAGCCGGTTTCGCGGGGGGTGGTTAGCCGTTTCTGCGGGGAGAGAAAGGGGCTGAGGCAGCAGGACACCCTGGACCTCGGGCTGGGGGCTAATTCTGCCACGGGGAACACACAGCACCCCAACATGGGGGCAGCTCATGGGGAAAGGGGTCCGACCGCTTCCCCATCAGGGATATCTGACTTCTGAGATACCAGAACTGCTGGTGCACATATCACCTGGCAGTGGGAGCTCGGCACGGAGCTGGACTTTCATGGAAGCCTGATGGGTTTCCCCCTGTGCCATTTTGAAACAAACGCAACCCCCAAGGCCACCAGTCCTGTCCTTCCAATTCTCAGTGCTAAAACCCCAATCAAACCCAGCGAAATAAACACCAACCCCATTTCTGGGTTTTTCAGCACTCATCCTCTCCTCCAGACTATTTAGTGACTCTGTAGACCAGAGTAGGGTCTATCTGAATTCCTGTCAATGCCTTGTTCTTACCTTCTGCAGTAGACTTCAACTTTTTGACCTGGCTTTCAAAGGCCAGGCACTGCTTAACCCATCACCTTCCTCTGGGCCATCAACAGCCTCAGCAGACACAATATCATCTTCTTATACCATAGCCTCTAGCCCTTATACCACAGCCTTCCCCTCCCACCCCCACGCAGGGGGCTGTTCCCTCTCAGATGTTGCTCTTTGCAGGGAAGGACAACACTTGTGTGGTCCATAAAGTACCATGGCTACAGTAAGCCATAAATGAGTACAAGAAAGAGAAAACGCTAAATAGCATCACTGAGTTCCTGGGGATAACAGCAGAGCAACCTCAATTCTTGGGGCTTCAAAGGGCTGGGGAGGAGAGAGCTTTTCATGAGACAAAGTGAAGCAGCAGAAAACATGCTGAGCGCTACCTGTGTGCTGTCTTCATCTCCCTGAGCATGGACGGTGTAGGAGCGACCACCGTTTTTCAAGGTCTCAGTGGCAATGCGCACTTCCACCCCTGGAAGCGGGGTGCCCACAGAACCTGCAAAGGAAAACAAGACTGGAACAGTGGACAGCCTCTGGGAAACAACAAAATCAGGGATGCAAAAGAGCAGCTGCTGGTCTATCAATGGCATCTGCAGACTGTGCTGGCACTAAAGAACTGCCTAGCAGGGGGTTACCCTTCAGGAAGGCTTCGATCGCGTGGTATGTCTGCGAGCAAGTGTCACCGCGGTGCAATACGCCATTGTTCGCTGAGCAGGCAGTGTTGGAAACGCCTAGGAAAACAAACGGGTCTCCAGCCCTGAACAGTCTCTCTTGGCCAGTCTTTGAAGACATCAGCACAGCTTCGTAGCTCAGTAATGAAGCTGTCTTTTTTTTTTTTTAAAAAAAAAAAAAAAGCACCATGAAACCTACACAAAGATGTGAAAATAAAGAGCATGATGATTACTACGGTGGCTCACTGCTTCTCTGTAGCCTGGACCTGACAGAGAAGGCAAAGGCTTAACAGCATAAGAATTGCAAGGGATTATCTTAGTTTTATAAGACATCAATACACTGTATATAAAACATCACAGGAGAAAAGCAGAGATCAAAGCCACGCCATTCTTCCACAGGTTTCAATTTTCAAAGCCAGGGAACCTGACACAGTGTCACGAATGACGGCTATTAAGCTCCAAGACGGTCCCGAGACCCGGAGCTGCCCAACCTGCAGCCTGCAGCATTCCCACCCTTTGGTTTAGTGCCCGCTCTTCTGGGCGAGCATCCCAAAGCACAGAGGAAAGGGCAGCTTTGCTCCTCCGACCTCTCTGATGGGGGGCTCCAGGCTCAGCAGCCACCAGGAGCTGTGGGCATCTGCTGGCTCAGCAGGTTTCGCTCCGCATTTCAACGGCACGAGACAGCTATCACTGCAAGATGAAGCCCGTGCCTCTCATCCCCTGCAAGCCGGGAACACTGAGCATGCAAACCTGCACAGGGTGCAGAGGGATGTCAGCACAGAGCAACCTGCGGCTCAGGAGGACTGGACAGGTCAAGGCTTAATTTGCTAAGTCTATTCTTTATTTTAAGACATGATTATTTTTTTCATCCCCCCAGGAGAGTCTCCAGTTGGTGGGGTTTCTAGCTCTGCTGTTCAGGCAGCAGGATCAGCCTGACTTTGGAAAGTCCTTAGAGCAGGGTGTGCAGGACCTGGAGCCCAGCGCTCTCTTCTTGTCGCCCGTGCTTCAGGCATTTGGGGTCAAGTGGCATTTTCCCTATCCTAGTCTCATTCTCCCGTTGAAGTCCCGGAGATCCAATATCTGTGACATCATGATTTTGTTTGCTACATTGGTCAGTTGCCATGGAAATAGATATGTCGTCGTAGCCCAGATTTATGGCATCCCTGCAGGATCAGCTACGAGCAGATGGGCTACGAGGGAGTGAGATTTTATTGCAGCGAAACTACCCGAACAATTAGCAAATCTGGCAAGAAATAAACAGAAAGCGACGTGGCAGTTCTGCGATGTGTGTCTGTTCAGCCTGAAATTGCCTTTGGCATTCATCAGGTCAGCCAACACGCAGCCAGGTCCTTCTCTTACCACAGGCATGGCTTGGGCTGCTCTCCTCTCATGGCCAGACACTGCCAGGAGTCGGAGACAGAGGCCTAGAAACATCCCAGGCCAGGTTGGACGGGGCTCTGAGCACCCTGGTCTGGTTAAAGCTGTCCCTGCTCACTGCAGGGGGTTGGGCTGGATGAGCTCTAAAGGTCCCTTCCCAAAGCATTCCATGATTCTATGACTGTGGCAGGGTAAGGAGGGAGAAGCATGTGCCAGGAGAAGTCCCCAGGAAAAGTGCCCCGTGGCGCAATGTAGAAGTATTTGTGTATTTTAAACAGTCTGGTACCTAGAATCATAGAATCATCGAACCGTTTAGGTTGGAAAAGCCCTTTAAGATCATCCAGTCCAACCATTAACCTACACTGCCAAGTCCACACTAAACCAGTCAAGGGTAGACTAGACTAAACCATGTCCCAAAGTGCCACGTCTACCCGTTTTTTGAATGCTTCCAGGGATGGTGACTCCACCACCTCCCTGGGCAGCCTCTTCCAATGCTTGACTACCCTTTCCGTGAAGAAATTTTTCCTAATATCCAACCTAAACCTCCCCTGGTGCAGCTTGAGCCCATAAATCCTGCTGCCTGCCATGGTAGACTCCAGGAGAACTCAAAAAGCAAGTTACAAGTCATGGAAAACATGCCAAACGTTTGCACGTCAAGCTTGCTTGAAGCCACCTTCTAGGCTTCTAGGGGAACATTTTCTCCAGTGTGAAAAACGCCTTGTGCAAAGAGCCTCCGACCTGCCTGCGAGACGTGGGGAGGGACAGCAGGCAGATGCTGCAAAGCCAGTCTTGCAAAGCTCATGGAGGGAGCAGCAACCAGTGCCATGAACTGCCACAGGCTCTCATGGATTTGCCATCTCTGGAAGCCTTCAAATCAAGATCAGATGGATGCCTTCCTGGAAGATGCTTCTTCCCTGCATGCAAGCTACCGACCTCAGTGCAGAAATATAACGGACTGATTTCATGGGCAGCAGGACTAAATGGTTAGTGCCCACTTAGAATCATAGAGTCATGGAATCATAGAATGCTTTGGGTTAGAAGGGACCTTTACAGGCCACCCAGCCCAACCCCTGCAGTGAGCAGGGACAGCTTTAACCAGACCAGGGTGCTCAGAGCCCCGTCCAACCTGACCTGGGATGTTTCTAGTCTCAGTCTTTGAGAACGAAATACCAAAGATCAGCACAGTGCTGTCAGACAAATCCGAAGACCCAAAGAAGGCAACGTGTTTCCCATACAGTGTTTCAGATCACCATTACAAATTATTTCCTACTTGGCTAAAGTAAAACCAACATGTAAAATAAGTCCCTCATGGGCAGCTGTTTCCTTCTATTCAGTCTGGAAAAGGCTTTCTGGTATTTAGGAAAAGTGACAAACTAGGAAATCAACATCTGTAAAGGCTGAAAATCCTCACAACATTGTTAGAGCTACACAAACCTGACAGTATTAATAAAATTTGTGCAAAGACAACGACTAGAGCTTCTCAGGCCCATCTGCCATGTCAAGATACACGCTGTGCCGACTCCAACAGGTCAGCGCAAGGTTGAGCCCGTTCCCAAAGGAACAGCACCGGAGGTCCCGGCTTCATCGAGACCGCAATCAGGGGTGATCAGAAGGGGGTCGACACTCAGCACCGGCTTCCTTTTGTCCCCAGCCATAATCCCGAGGGGAAAGCGGGGAGAAATCCCTGCTCCTTCCCCTCTCGCTCCCTCCCAGCTCTCTCCAATTTGCAGACTCCTGAGCGTTAAGAAATGCTGGCAACGTGCCCGCGGTGCCATCTCAGCCGGCATCAGCCGGGCTGCAGTCGGGAAGGAGTGACACTATTATTCTTTCACCGGTTCTCCTCTCTGTTTAAAAAAGTTGTCAGCTCTTCCCAGATAAATTTAATTGGCCCTGCGGTCTGTGTCCTTCGGTATCTGGGGACCTGGATGCTGTTATGTGCGGCGGTGTCCTGGGAGAATTGAAACAGGCCAACGATAAGGCACTCAACGATCTCACTGTCAACAATACACGGAGTCCCCGCTGTAGGAGCTATTAGCCGCCTCTGATCTAAACCTCCAATTAAAGTGGTGATTAGGCCCAGTGAGGCATTCTCCAGCCATGAATTATTCATCTCCCTTCACAGTAACAGCACCGGGGGGATTAGAATGAGAGCTGGTGAAAACAGAGGCATTTTAAGCAGGGTTTTAACCATATACAAGCAAACATTTATCTTTCAAATCTTTCATCTTTTCTTCTTCTGGAAATTAAAGCCCCCCCCTGCTCCTGCCCCTTCAAACCTGTGCTGCGGGTGGAGAGCGGTGCCACACCACCAGAGACACCGGTGGTGACGGGGGTGACGTGGCCTCGACCCTTCCCCAGCCACACCGGGAGGGTGACAGCGGGCGAGGGAAGCCCCAGCACCTCTCCTCAGAGGCTCATGAAACAGCGGAGAAGGACATGTGCTGCTTCCACTCCAGGAGAAATCCCCTGGCAAGTGTGAGGATCCCCGGACTTACCCACAGGGCCAAGTGCCACGCTCGCGGCGCTCCTTTTTCAAAATAAAGCTAGTAATCACTTTGGCCAGCACATGGGTCTGCGGTCACCACATCTGTCCCTCTAACACCAGTGCCGCCTGAGGTCTTTTCTCGGGACGCTTCACTCCTCCTCCTGCCCAGCCTCAGTTCCCAGCCCATCGCTGCATTTCTCAGTTGATTCTCTCGCACTGGATGCTCTGTGGTACCTGGTGACCTTACATCCCAGCCTCTAATGGGGTACTATATCAAAAGCTTTTTCACAGCTCCAGTAAATTACGCCTCAGCTTCACCCATCTGCTTCCCAACTGACACTTCCTGAAATAAATTAATCAAGCCTATTCAATTATAGCCCTCTTTCTGTAAGGTCTCTCACCGATTCACACCTTTGCAAGATGCTTCTTACCCCTCTCAGGGCTGCAGCGAGCCCCCGGACGGCGGCTGGGGTGACGGTCAGCCGGCCTTCATCCCCAGCCCCTCTGCTTGTAGCCACACAAAAGGATTTGTCACCAGCTCCCCTGCAGACCCCGGTGCCCTCAGGGACCCTGCCCTGGCTCTGTTCAGGAGCACGGCCACCCATCTCTGGAGTAGGAGCCTTCTGGGTGCCAATGTCTGTCTTCCCCGTGTTGCTTTCAGTCTTATTTCCTTTCTCCTTTTGTCTCCTGGGAGATTTCTAGAGCCTCCACTCATTTCCCCTCCTGAAGATGAATGAAAAGCAAATATAACCAGGCCACACGGATATTCTAACACTCTTTGCACCGTCGCGCTGCGGCGTGGGGCTCACGGAGAGCTTGAGCTCATGCAGGTGGGAATCTCGTTTCCCTGCCTGCTTCCCCCTCCTGCCTGCAGGGACGGGGCTCCTGGGGGACGGGAACACTGTCTGAGCTGTGCTGGGGGAACTGCAGTAACTCTGGAGAAGTAAACTAGAGTTTGTTTGCATTTCGTGCTGTCCCTGAGCTGCTCTCAGATTGAGGAGCCAGTGCTGGGGAGCTGCGGCTTCTCCTCTCCCCGTGCAATCCCTGCAGGAGCACCGGGGTGGGACTGGGCTGCTGTGGGAAGCCACAACGCCCAGGACAGCCCCGCTGGGTAACACCAGTCCCCCAAGACACCGGCAACCATGACGGCACAACGGTGCCATGCCTGTGCAGACAGCGCGTGGGGAGGAGAAGGTGGCACAGTGGTGGGCTGCGATGCTCGGCAGACAGATGGCCACGTTTTTAACCAAAGGGAGGGTGGGGGCATTTCATATTTTTAGCGTTTCGGATCAATTTATTTCTAGGTTACACAAACTACAGATATTGAGAGGAGTCACAAAGTGTAGCTAAGAGAAGTGAGGGAAGACAAGGAGAGAACAGAACCAGAGTGTATAACGAGGTGTGACAATTTCTAATTCCTGAAGAGTCAAGAAACTTGCACTAAAATAAGCGTGAGCAGACATCCTATTTTAAATGTTCAGTACCAATCGGTTGGACGTGAACTGCTGCGTGGGGAATCCGGTGTCAACACTGCACACAAACACAACTTCATAGAGCAGGAGCTGAAGATGCAGTCCCATCACCGTCCTTGAACTCGCTAAGACCTTGGACATAATAAAGCATCGATATGGACTCTGCCTCCTGGACACAACCAGCCTGGCTGGCCAGGTCAGCGTGCACCACTGTGAGCTCTACACACGCAGCTTTGCCAATCCACCATGGCTCATGATCACAGGGAAACCCACCAGCCACTTCCCATACACCCATGCCCCCTCCTGGCTTCCCAATGCCAATTCCCCTACCAGCATCACTGTTCCTACCAGAGCCTGCTCCTCAAACATGACAAACGGTAATTAGACGTATATTCTCTGTGCTGAGAAAACCCAAGAGCACTTCACAGCCAAACGCCTCCAAACAGTGGGCACCCTCTAGAGACTCCTACCTGGGACACGGACTCCATGCAAAGGGTTAGAAAGCGCCATCCCGATCTCAGTCATCCCATACCTCTCCAGCAACGTGTGCCCAGTGATGCTCTTCCACTTCTCCAGGACAGGCACAGGCAGGGCTGCTGAGCCCGACACCATTAACCTGCACAAGGAAACGCCATATAAGAAAGTATCCAAGACCACCTTTGCTCCAGGGAATTTGCAGTCTAACACAGGGTTAGGTAAAGCCTGCTCCTATGTAAAACCTTAAGCCAGAAGCCCCAAAATCCTTTTAACCGCTACCAAGGATGTTCCTCACATAGAGAAGATTCTGTCTGATGTAAGTTAAGATGGGACAGCCTCTTGAGAGAGATACTGCAGTACAAACTTGGGTTGCAGGACAAAGTCCTTAGGCTTGTGTTATGTAGGGTGACACATATAATGAGCATGCAGACCCCTTCTGGCTTTACCATGCAAGAGTGGCTCATAATTAAATAACGTCACGCTCGTTCTTGTCAAAGAGACACTAAAGCACAACAACCAGCACCACAAAGAGGTGATGCTGAAAAGAAACCTCGGCAGATTCACCGTGGGGACAGCCAGCCACCAGCAGCCCGTGCCCAGAGAGGCATCGCTCACCTACCTGATGTTCTCCTGGCAAAAGGCACGCACAAAATCCCGGACTTGCGGCTGAGAGAAATGCTTGTCGTAATACTCTATCAGCTTGGCATAGATAGTGGGCACTGCCATGAAGACACTGATACGGGGAGCTTGGGAGCTTAGGAACTTCTTCCAAACCTAGAAAGGAAGGGAACATACACACATATAAAAATACACCTCAGTATAAAGTGTAGAGGGAAGCGATCGCCAGCGCTGTCATGCTAACTCCTCAACCCCTCTGAAGAGGTTGACAAGCAATGGTTCTGCAAACGCTCCGTAGGGCAGCGAGCCCCACCACTGCTCCTTCATATGGTGCAAGGGGAAACTGAGGTACAGGAGTGCGACAGACTTGTCCAAAGCAAAGCCACCCTGGGTTGCTCACAAACAGTCAAACATCCACTCTCTAAGGCTTCTGGAAAGTACAAACAACTTGAAGCCTGCTGCACGCACCTCATCCACGTCCAGAACAGCAGCTCCCAGCCCTCATCGTGCCCCTTATTGCCCAAAGCACAATATTCAACTCTCTCATCCCACCAGCGCATCACCCACCTGCTTTCACTCTCAATGAGCACAAGAAAAGGCACTTTTTAGTACCGTCACGTTACAGCCAGAATTTGCTCACAAAGACATAAGCTTGTGGCAGAATCAGTTAATTCCCTTATTTGTGCACATGATGGAAAAGGCACTTTTTAGTACCGTCACGTTACAGCCAAATTTGCTCACAAAGACGTAAGCTTGTGGCAGAATCAGTTAATTCCCTTATTTGTGCACAGCTCTTCAGAGGCTACACAAAGCCACCAGTTTTTCAAAGCGTGGGAGCTCTTCTTCGGAAAGACACTACGCCATGTCTGAAGAACACGATACACATGTAGGAGCCCACAGACTCGAACGTTTGAGGGAGAAATGCTTTTAAGATGGATGGCAGGGCTGGGAAGAGAGATATCACGCGCTGGAATTGGGGGTGAGACTCCACTGCGGCGGAAATGGTCACCTTCTGGTGAGATCAGATCAGCCAGCAGAAAGTGCAGGTAAAACAGCGACAGCCAGGAGACAGCAGCTAGCCAGGAGGGCAGCTTCACCAACCGCACTCTTCCCGAAAGGAACGGTCCTGGCGGGACAGACGTTCTTCAGCTGCAATGCCTGCTATCCTGCAGGAACTGCAGGAACACCTGCTCTGAGCGGGGGATGAAGACCCAGAGACCCCCGGCTGCTGCCCTGGCTGCGCAGCCCCACCTGGGAGCAGTTAGCAATGGGTAGGAGCCACAAATATTGCAGTTGGGCCCATTTCTCCCACAACCTCACCACTCTTCCCCCTCGGTAAGCTCTTCCCAAGACAGGAACGATCCAAAGCCATCAATAAATAAAAGGCTACGGTGACGGCCGTCTCTTTCCTCCCGCTCCGGTCCCTGCCCCGCTGTTGACAAATGTATTTCCTAACAGTTCCTGACAACGCGTGCCGCCTCTCCCCTCCCTGCCTGCGCACGCTCAGCTGCACACAGGCACGTGCAAGGGCGAGAAAAAGCAGGAATTGATTGAAGGTGAACAAGTGATTCTCCTTCATGCTGTCACTCTGCCCCCTTCCCCTCCGTCGTGCTCGCTCGGGCTCCATTTCATTACTTTCTACTTCGCTGCGTCGGCGCTGCCTCCCCCCCCGCGTCTCTCACTCCACTGCTTCAGAACAATCAGCTCCTGAAAAAAAAAACCCACCACCATCACGTTGCTGTTCTTAATAGAGCAGGACACATCCGACAAAGGCACCGTCCCACCGAACAGAAGGGAGTTCACGCTGCCTCCCAGCCCAGAGCTGCTCCTCGATGGGGTGAGGCAAATACACGAGGTGGAAACCCCCACCGGACACCTCGGGAATTGGGACTTGAGCGCTGCAAGATCCCCTCAGTGTCAGGGAAAGCAGAGGAGGAACACGACTTGCCCAGACCGATGGGCGACATGCCCAGCGAGGGAACATTGCACTCCCTTGCAGAACCCCCACCTCCCAGCGTGATCCCCTAAACCAAGCCAGAATAGGCAAAATTGCATCTAGAAGGATCTAACCCCTACCATACTCCTCCTAGCCTCTTTCCCCAAAGCTCTTTTTCTCTTCAACCCCCCCAATATCTTTCCCATTTGGAGGCAGCAGGATGGAGAAGGATCTCTCCGAAGCCAGGGGCTGAATGCACGGACCTGCTCTCCTCACGCTCCCGAGAGCCATCGCCTCGGGCAGGGAGAGACGGGCGATGGCAAGCAGGGATCAGGACTGCGCCGAAAGAATTGAAGGGAGACAGATGCTCGGGGCTGCTCAGTCCTTGCTGTGTGATTTTTTTGTTGCCTTCACAAGTCCAGAGCAGCTGTGGGGAGCGCAGGCAGACTTCCAGTCTGCATGCAACAGAGTTATTTTCACATGGGTTTGGATTTGAAAAAAAAAAACCCAAAAGCAGCACTCCAAAAGACAGAGACCTCTCTTGCACCCCCACGTCCCCTGTCCTCACACGCCTGCTCAGCTCCTGCCCCCGATAAAATCCTCCCTACCGCCACTCCAGCCACGGGAGCAGCTTTTTCTGTGTCAGTCCGACTCGCCCCAGCAACAGCCCCTTTCCTGAAGATAAGCAGCTGCCTTTGGATTTGTGCCACCAGCTGCTGGGGTGAGCTGCTGACAGCCAAACATCTCCACCTGCTCTGCTCCTGCTCAGCCAAATCTGGATCCTACCCATGTGTTTTAACGGTACTAAGCACCGAGCCACGGTACAAAGCTGGCAGCCCCCAAGCCCTCTGCAGACCCCAAGCTGTCCGGAGGGCTTGTCCCTGCCCAGCCAGCTGTAACAGCTATTTCTGTTTTATAACTATAACTTCACGGTTTGAGAGAAGGATCTGGGAAAGTCTGGTTATCTGGGACTAATCAATCAATCCCGGGGCTTGGACAGGCTCACAGCAAAAGGCCAGCTTTGCCTTTCCAGCGCACGGCATCCTCCAACACCATCGGGCTTAGAGCGGCACAATCAATCTCCCCCTCTGTTATCCCATGTGTCACCGTCACCGCATCAATTACCTGGAGACAGGGTATCGGCAGCCCATCATTTCATTTTATCTTGCTCACCTGATACCTCAGAACTCCAAATGCTTTTAAAAAGCCACGGATTCTGGAGGCAAACACAGCAAGGGCTGCCAGACTTTGCACCGAGTGCTCACCGGACACAAGGGAAGCAGCAGTCTTCCGACAGAAGATGTTCAGGAGATGGACCAAGATTCCTTTTAAGATAAACAAGGGCTAGAAACAAAAAGTTTCTAACTGCAAGAAAGCAAGAGGGGGCACAGCTTCCCATCAGCAATAACGGCAGCGAAAGCCCAGGGCAGGCTTACAGGACAGGGCTGCCTGAGCCAGCAAAGAAATGGAAGACCTTCTGTTCCCAAGAGCCTTCCCGTCAGCCCGACATTCCTGATTTTCTTCCCCTCCCACTCCACAAAAGCATATGTGGGCAATTCCACGGGCTGGCCAGCGGGATTTTGCCATCAGCAAATGCAAAAAGAAAAAAAGGGGAAAATTGCACCAGTGGGCACAAAACGACCCCAGTGAGACACAGCTGTAAGATTTTTCCCACGTGTTTCTTCCAGCAGACAGCTGGCACGACGGAGGAACATGCGAGCTGCTCCAAGAGATGGTCCTTCCATACAGCGACCCTCCCAACCAGCCTCCAAACCTGCTAAGATCACCTGAAGCAAGAGATGCAAACACAGAGGAGAAAAGGCAGTAATTTTTTTTTTTTTCCTTTACAGAGGCCTCACCTTCAGAGGGAGACGCGCAATGCTGGAAACCAGACAGAAAACACCGAATCGATCGACATCTGGGCATCTTCTAAGGCAAAAAAAAGAAGAGAAGGTGGCAACAACCATTTGTGTGCTAAATCTTGCAAGACTTTATCCGATACAAGACTCCCAAAACCAGCCAGAAGAGATGCAGGCAAAAATGCCCAAAAGCTGACAAGGAAGCGAATACCAGCATGGATTCTCCCACCAGCCCACAAATAGCTAACAGCCTGTGCTGCTGCCTCTATTGATGGATACAACAGCTCCTCTCTTCTATAAAATTATTGTATCATTTTCAGTTGTTATTGAATTTTTTTTAAACCTTTTCAAAAGTAACAATACCCCTAATGCAAGGTTAAATCATCCCTTTACTTCCCTTTTGATCGGGGAGATGGGTTTTGTGTTTTGCATCGATCGCTGCCACGGGGGTAGCACCGCCAGCGAGGAAAAGGGCTGCCTGCAATTTTCGGAGCGTCTGCGAGAGGAACAGGCAGCAACGCGGCTGCAGCCGAACCAGCTCCGCGTTCGGCAAGACCCCGCGCCTAACGCCGAGGCCAGAAAGCTCCCGTAACGCCGCAGAAGCACCGAAGGGATGGCAGGACCGCGCGCCCGCGGCCGGCGTCGCTTTATCCCCGACAAAGGCAGATGGGCATGACGGGAGACGGAAGAGCATCAAGGGGAGCTCTGCTCTCTGCTGAGGACTGAGCCGCGGTGGCTTCGTGAGCAATACGCAGAGAGGGAAACATTCTTCTCTTCAAAGGGAAATCAGGCCCTCGGTGGCTTCGTCTCATGTCTGTTATAACCCCAAACTGTTTGCGCTCTGCGTGACTCTGGTTTTAATCATTTATTCATCAGCGCAGTTTGATGGCCCCTCCGCATTCCAGGCTGAAGCTTTTAAACCCTTCCTATGCTGCAGGCATACTGAAAGGAGCAAGTGCTTTCCCTGGGACCTGGTAATATAAGTAAATATGACAGGCTCTGGTTCCATTTTTTTGTATTTCCCCACACACATCAAAAGACATTACTCCGTAACAGATGCTGAGGACAGACGGCAGATCTGGGGAGACGGGAAGAAAAACTCTAACTTTTTAAAGCCAGGTCTGTGAGAAGTGATCAAACATAATGCATTCACTAGTGACCTGCTCCTCCCTCCACCGACTCCTCTTTGAGTCTGAACTAAAATTACTCCTCTGAAGCCTCCCATTAATGGATGAAAAGACAATTGCCGTTCTCCAGCTGAAACTGGATGGGAGACGCAATCCCCAGCACGCTACCAGCAGCGTCTTAGCCGTGCTTGGTTATTGGGGATCAGCCTCCTCTGCTTGGATTTGCTCTTCTTT